TGAGGCACGTGGTCGGTTTCCGTCGTGAGTGCCCAAAGCACCCTTGATCAAAGGATACCAAACCCATTCCTTGGTAGCGGAGCAGCTGCATTAACTCCGGCCATGCCCAAAAGCTTGGACTTTCTTCTTCGCGAGCTTGTGGAACATACGTCAACGGATCCTGTGGGCTCTCCAAGAGGAAAGCGGTTCTCACACGATGACGCTCGCGGCATTCTTCAGACCTTATGAACAGGCCAATTTGTTTCAGCAGCAGTGCTGCATCTGAATCAGCCAAGTTCTTCTCCCGGTCTGTCAATCCTGGTAGACCATACCGGTCATGGAAACGTCCACGCAATGGTCTTGGTCCCGGTTGTTTCTGCCTCAATCGGCTGACCGTCCGACAGGGAGGTCCCCCGATGATAGCAAGAAGTTTTCCCAGGCTTGCAAGTTTCCAAAGGAAACTCCATGTTCCCGGATTGTGTAGATCTTGATTTCGACCTTCATTGATATCCAAAGTGATGACTTCAATCCCATTGATGGGATTCTTTCGCCATTCCTTCGCCCTTTCTCCAGCAAAAAGGTGGACTATAACCCCTTTTGAGGTGAGCAGCCTCCTTCTTTTGTGACGGTTCCATGGTAAATCATGGTTCATTTGCGGATCTTCTTCATCTTGACCCCGCATGTAATTCCAAATTCTGTCCGGTGTTTCCGGAAATCGTGATCCCCACCACTTCTTGGTCTTCTCCGTGGGCTCTTCCAAGGTGAGCCGATGGTTGGTCCTCTTTTCCATTTCCATGTGCTCAATCTCAGTGATCAGAGCCAGAGCGTGGTCCTTTCGAACCACTGGACACCCAGACCTTAACCAACATTCTATGTTTCCCAGTCGTGGATGCTTCACAACACATCCTGCACGGGACCAAGTGATGGTGTATCCCAATTCCACCAAACCTCGAAGAGGTACAATTGGTTCCACCGGTCCCTCCGACAAGAGGGTTCCATTCACAGGATTTTGATAGAGCTGAGTAGCTCCATGCGCGAGCTCCACAGTGACCTGCACCGCGTTCTTGATCTCCTCGGTTGATCCCTGTCTCAAGGGGTGTGTCGCCCCACCATCCAATAAACCTGTTCCATCATCAAATTCAACTTCGAGATGATCCCCACCATGCCCCACCGATTTCAAGACCGGTCCATTGAGACCCTTCAAAAGGTTGGTCACTTCTCCCACAACCTTGTTGGCCTCCTCTGGTACAGGGGTTATAGTGACCGTGGACTCCTTCATCGGATTGATCTTCACGGTAGGTTCAGAATGTTCTTGAGCAGCACCTCCCTCTTTTCCAGGACCATTTTTCCTCTCTTGAGATCTTGAGCGGATTCTTGTGGTTTTGGCCACCTTTGGTTCCTCGGATCCACCTTGTGGACCTCGTGACTCACTTCGTTTTCCCGCCGGACAATCACGTCGGGAGTGTCCCCTTCCAGAACAGTTGAAACATCGGCCATCTTTGGAGTCCAGGACAGTGTGCGTGAATCGGCACCGGTCAGCATATTGGCATCCCTTATCTGTCAGCCAGTTGATGCACGCAGTCTTGTGGACCACATTAGCCGCGTTAATCGGCAGCTCGGGCTTTTCTCCCCTCCTTCCGGTGGAAGAACCTGCTGCGTCTTCTGGTTTTCCCTTTGAAGCGCCCTTTGGTGGGTTTCCAGATGAATCCGGCCCACTCATTGACTTCACCCCTACCACATTATTGGGTTTAGCCGCTGGGCCCTGTGTTATGTTCCCCGGTTGACGGAGAGCCATTTCACCAGCTTCAGCTTGAAGAAGTTCAGAAAACGTTCTGATCTCTTGCATTCCCGGCCGGAGATCTATGCCCAAATGCTGTCTCACCGAAGACAACCGGTAGGCAGCTTGAGCTCCCCCCAATCTGGCCAAGGCATCACTCATTTTTGCGACCACTCCGGCCAAAACCAGAGGATCGGGCAAAACCAATTGAAGTTCTTCGGCACGAACCACCCATCTTCTCCACTTCCGGATGGAGTTGACCATCTCTGCAGCATTATTAGATGGACATTTCCAGTCCACCAACATTTGCAGCAGGGCAGTTCTTTCCACTTGTCCCCCAGGTTGGAAGACGGTGTACAGCTTGAACATGACTTGACCCGCTGACATGTGTCTGTTCGCCACAAGGTCCTCGTAGATGTCCTTGGGGACGGCTTGAAGCAGCATACCCACCACCCGTTTCTCTGTGCGAGGCCACCTACGGGCCATGTCAGGTATCACAGGCGCCATCCGGAGCCTCATGAGTGGATCCGCTTGCAACCAGTGGTGGTATGCTTGTTCAACAGCAGTCATCACTACTTCCCACCATTGCTCTGAGGTGTAGCTCACATCCCCAATCATCTGTTGGGCAACTGTCAGCCAGTCTCCAAAGTCCAAAGATGTTGCATTCCTGTCCAGCTTCGGCAATTCGACCGATCTTAGCGTTTCGCCTGGTACTTCTCCCCCTGCCTGAGGTCCTGCTTGGACTACAGCTTGTTGTTGTTGTGGCGGTGCAGCTTGTCCTGGATTTCCTTGATGACCACCTGGGAGACCGGGATTTCCCTGATGACCACCTGGCGGACCAGGTGCTTGTCCGGGATTTCCATACTGCCCTGGCGGTGGACCCCCTGGCCAACCATAACCACCCATAGGTCCGGTGTTTCCTCCCGGAAATGCAAAAACCCCTTGAGGTCGATGATCTTGTCCTGCAGGTGCTCCTCCAACTTGGACTTGAGGATTATACCATTGATTAGGTTGATCACCTATGAAAAAGTGTCTTGTGTTTTCCGTGGCTCCCATGCAAGGAGCTCCCATCGGTGGTCTTGACGCCGCTCCCTGCGGCATACCTCCCGGTGGTATTCCATTCAGCCACCCTTGATTCATATACACATCCATCGGCCGAAGACATGGTTCGACCCTGGGCGCAGGAGGCACATTCCACAACGGACCTACCGCCTTCATTTGAAGATCCTGATCGTGATGATGTTGAACTCCCGGAACTGTTTGATCTTGTACAGGTTGTCCTTGGGGTGGAACACCTTGAGATGGCCCCACAGGAAAACACTGCTCGACATTCTTTTGCTCCGGAGAGGCGGTTTGATAAGACCTCCCACTTGATTGAGAGCCCTTGTGACCTCCTCCTGCTTCTTGGACCCTTTCTAGGGCACGTTTCTCTTCCCGCGTGGCTAACCAATTTTCTCGATCTTGTTGGATCTCAGTCTTGCCCCGCTGGATGAATTCCATCGCTCGTTGTTTCAACTCTTCATACTTCTCTTTCTCCCTTGCGTCCGCCCGATCAATCAGGTCTTGCGACACTGTGGGATAAGTCAGCTCCTTCACTGGAGTTTGTGGACTGCTCATTAGAGCTTCCACTCGCTTGGCAGCACTCCATGGATTCGTTTCCTCTGCAGCCATGACCCCGGTTACAATCCCAGGATCCACAACCGCCGTTCCCCACTGAGGCACCATTCCCGTAGGTGGCACTCCAGCACACATGGATTGCTGGGACATCCCAGCTACTTGCGAACCCCGTGTTCCACCAATTGCAGTATACACCACAGGTGCTCCCGCCGGCTGGTAGATCATAGGCGAGCCTGTTGGCCGCTGTCCCCGATTGTTTAACGCGTGCATCTTCAGGAGACTCAACAGGTGAACGTCCCGGTCGCTCCAAAAGAGCAACGGTTTCCACAACAGCAGCCGCACCTCCACCCACTTCAGTTGAGCTTTGGTGTTTTCCACCCTGTCCTTCTTCTCGATTACCCACAACAGGTGGTTCACGAAATCCCTCAGACATCCGGGCAACTACTGGTGTTTGTGTCATAGGCACTCCCGAAAGAGTTAGACTATTCACACCTGGGGTCAAACCAGACAACAGACCACCATTCCCATTTCCTCGTACCACTTCAAGTCCAGGAGGTTCTTCAGGTGGTAAGGACACTGGTCTTGCGACTTCTTCCGCAACAGCCGGATTCTGGGCGATTCGTTCGCCCGCTCCAGCCCGGACCGCCGCAACCTGCACTAGGGCTCCACTTCCCCCAGCACCGGTCAGTGCCATCACACTTTCTCCAACTTCCCCATCCATCAGTGATCTTCGGGTTGAGTCTGATGATCTTGTCCCTGTTCTTTCCCCATGTGCTTGTCCAGGTGCGTCCATCTCCTCCAGAAGCCGGTCCAGCATTTGGTCTGCCGTTTCCGCGCGTTCTTCTTTTCCATGTCCATGGGTCCCATGTTGTACTTCTTCAACATGAGCAGCCGCTTGAACTTGGCGTTCTTGTCGACGACGCTGAGTGAAGTCGCTGCTCGACATTGCTTCAAGGCAGCGTTGGGGTTGGGCTCATAACCCACGGGTTTCAGACTATGACCGAGACCCTTCCCGGAGGTCCCCACCTAGAGGCAGATGCAAGTGCACCTTTTCACTCCAAGTTGGGCTCGGTAAATTGAGCCAGTCAGTTGATTGGCCCTTGAGCCAAGTTGCAACAGTCGGAGGACGTCTCAACGACTGTGAAAACTTTAAAAAGACCTTAGTGGGGGTGCAGTGGTACTCTGTGCATGTTTCCCAAACCGCAGAGACAATTCAAGAATGTTGGTTCAAATGGGCAGGTCCATGCAAACAACTGGTTGTGGATAATGAATCAGCTCTTTGTTCCGATGAATTCACCAAACATGCCCAGAGTAGCGACATTCACCTGAGAGTTGTGGCCGCCTATGCACACTGGCAACTTGGAAAAACAGAACGTCACGGTGATATCCTCCAGCACATGTTAGAGCGATTTGATGTAGATCAAGCCATTTCCACCAATGATGAGTTTCGAAAAGCCCTTCAGCAATGTTGCAACGCAAAGAACTCGCTAGCCCGGTCAAAAGGGTACACGCCAGAAATTCTAGTACTTGGAAAGAGCCAATGCCTTCCTGGAAGTGTATGCGAAGATGTGCCCAAAGCATCAATTTTTCTTCAGGATTCAGACACTCCCGAGGGATTAGCCTTTAGGAAGCATCTGGAATATCGTGAATGTGCTCGCAGGGCCTTTGCACAAGCTGACAACAGCGAGAAGCTACGCAGAGCATTTCTCCGGAGGCAAAGACCTCATCGAGGTCGACATATAGGTGGATCCTTTGTCATGTTCTGGCGTCCAGGGAAGGGTGAATACCGCGGCCAATGGCATGGGCCGGCCAGGGTCATCATTCAAGAATCTGATCACGTTGTTTGGATATCCTTTTCCAGTCGGGTATACAGAGTAGCCCCTGAACATATCCGGAGTTTATCATTGCATGAAGCCCAACAGAGCATGGAGCAACTAACCTCATCCCGAATGGACTTTCCTGAAAAAGATTGTGGTAAAGGAGTTTTCCAATATGAAGACCTCACCCAACAAGCAGGACCCATAGGTATGCCTGCTGCTGAAGAATCGGAAGTTGTCCCAGTTCTGCCATCTCCTCCTGAACCCTCGACTGAAGCCTTGGACATTGACAATTTGGAACAGCCTGATTCCGAACCAAACATGCCACCGGCATCGCAAGCCAGCAGTGGATATACCCCAACGACGCCGATCAATGATAGGCTTTCAGATGACGTAGCAGAAGAACCCATTCCAGCAGCTCCTCATGAAGTTCCAATTCCTAGTGATGATGATGAACTAACTGTTGAAGATGCCTGGATGTGCCAGGGTGACAAACTTCTCCGTATCCACAATCGACCGCGCTGGACCGATTTTGACCCGAGCAGCTGCGCTGACTGCACAGTAGACATTCTGCATGTGATGGAGACCAGATGCACCACAGGAAACCACACACATGGAGGAATTTGGTCCAAAACAGATAGTTGGTGTTCAGATCAAGGGGATAATCACTGGACTACTCAGGAACCTTGGACAGGAATCACGATGTTTACAATCATGACAAATGGTGGGGAGCCTATTGAACAGGTTCAAGATGTTCTGAATGTTCAAGATGATCAAATCTTTGAGTGTGAAATCTTCTTCACTGCAGGAGATTTGGAAACAATAGGAGATGATCCGGAGGCCTTTCCGGTGCTTGCTGCTTCAGCCGCCAAGAGGCAACGGACTGAAGTAAAGCTTAAGGACCTATCACTGAGCCAACTTGCAGAATTCCAAGCTGCAAAGAACAAAGAGATCGACCAATGGTTAGCTACTGAAACAGTCCGAAAAATCCTGCGCCACAAAATTCCTGAAGAAAATATTTTGAAATGCAGATGGGTACTCACCTGGAAAGATCTCGATCCAATCGATGCAGCAAAAGAAGGGAAAAATCGCAAAGCCAAAGCCAGACTTGTGATTCTAGGATATATGGATCCTAACCTTACTGAGATTCCCAGGGACTCACCAACACTCCAAAAGGAATCGCGAGCTCTTCTTCTGCAATACTGTGCGGCACGATGCTGGGTCATCCAGAGTTTTGATGTCAAGACTGCATTTTTGAGAGGTTCCCGACGAGACAATAGGATATTGGGTGTTGATCCTCCACCAGAACTTCGCGCGAAACTGAACATGAAAGAAACTGAAACGTGTGAATTGTTGAAATCAGCATATGGTCTTGTCAACGCACCGTATTTATGGTATGTTGAACTGAAAGAAAGCCTTCTTGAATTGCAGTTTCAAATCAGCCCTCTGGATCCTTGCCTAGTTTGCTTGGTGGGAAAACAGGGACAAGTTCATGGTCTCATTGGTATGCATGTCGATGACGGACTATGTTGTGGGGACGAAACGTTTGAACAAACCTTGAATCAACTTGAGAACAAATTTCCATTTGGCTCCAAACGACGTCAAGACTTTACCTTCACCGGAATCCACATCAATCAAGATGAGAACTTTAGTATCCACTTGAATCAAACTGACTACGTCCTTGCCATTGATCCAATTCATGTTGAAAGGACTCGCAGAAAACAGGAACAATTAGAGGTAACCGAGGGAGAACACCAAAGCTTACGAGGAATCATTGGATCCCTGCAGTATGCTGCCACAAACACCAGACCAGATTTGTCCGCTCGACTCAGTTTCTTGCAGTCTCGGATCAATTGTGCCACCATCCGAGATCTACTGGATGCCAACAGATTGCTGGGCGATGCCAAACACCATGCTTCTGTTACGATTTCCATCTCTAGTATTGCTGTTGAGGATGTTCGTTTTGTATCGTATTCCGATGCCTCATTTGCCACACGTGAAAAAAGCAACACAGCCAAAAGGGAGGATTGTTTTTAGCAGTGCACCAAGATGTTTTTCTCCAAAAAAGTGCTCGAGCAAGCCCACTTTGCTGGTTTTCCAAGAAGATAGATCGAGTAGTTGCCAGTACGCTGGCAGCAGAGACCTATGCCCTATCCTCTTCCGTAGATCTTACAAATTGGTTGCGACTCTCCTGGGAATGGATCAAAAATCCCAACATTCCCTGGCAGACTCCTGAGAAAGTATGGCATGAAACACATTCCAGTATAGCCGTTGTTGATTGCAAATCCCTGTACGATGCAATAACAAAGAATACCACTCCACAATGCCAAGAACACCGCACACTCATTGAAGCACTTGTCATTAAAAGTCACTTGAATTCTGGAATCAAACCCTACTGGGTCCACAGTGCGGCTCAGTTATCAGATGCACTGACCAAAATCATGGATTGTTTTCGTATTCGTGAATTTCTTCAACATGGCAGATGCTGTCTCCATGACATGGATGAAACCTTGAAGCAAAGAGCCGACCGAAAGGCTTTCAAGACCTGGTTATCCAATTCAATACAGTTGCCAAAGATTTGTCATCAATCGCCGAAGCCCAAAACCGATCCACTTAGGTGTTTTCAGTTGTTTGCTTTCTTGATTTCTTAAATAAAAAAGAAATTTTGGGAGTGTGAATTTCCAGTTTCCTGCATATCCATATGCCAGCTGCCAAAGGGGTCTTGTCTACATGTGTCATGTCCGACATTCAATCCAAGGGGTTTTGCAACCTCATACCGATGGCCATCACTAAAGGCCCAAGCGAGGGGTTTGCTGCAGCAGGTGTGTGGTCCAGGAAAAGATCACTTGCAGCGCTTGGGGGCGGATTGGTTGTTTCGAGCCATAGTCGTGGCCACTGTTGGAAGAATCCTATTTCCAGTTGGTTCAGGGGACCATTCGACATCACTGTGATCAGGGGGTCAACTATCTCATTCCAGCTTCTGACATTGGAATCTTATTGGATCATCTCAGTTCCCTACCTTTGTGGTCAATCCACAATATATATATATATATATATATGTAAATATATATATATATGTGTATATATATATATATGTAAATATATATATATATATATGTGTATATATATATATGTAAATATATATATATATATGTGTAAATAAATATATATATATATATATATATTTGAATTTGAACATAAATAGTAATAATATGTATGTATATATAATATATAAGTAGAAAATATAAATAATATAAATATATCTAGATATAAATATACAAGTGTGTATATAAATGCATATATATATATACATATATATATATATACATATACATATATATATATACATATATATATATATATATTATGATTTTAATTTAAACATATATATATATATATGAATATAGTCGATTCAAACTAGTGTATTGAAAAATGTGCAAGTTTGACATACTAAAAATACCACCAAAAACCATGGAAAGCAAGCCAAAAGCCAAAAGCAAACAAGCAAAAAGCAAAAAAAACAAAAAAGGCAAAAATAACAAAAAGCAAAAAAACAAAAAGCAAACAAGCAAAAAAGCAAAAAAGCAAAAAAAAACAAACAAGCAAAAAAAACAAAAAAAAACAAACAAAAAAGCACAAAAGCAAAAAAGCAAAAAAAAGGAGAAAGCAAGATAAAACAAGAAACCCAAAAAAAAATCCAAAAACGTAAAAGAAAAAAATCCAAAAAAATAGGCCTCCATATACTAGTGAAAATGATCCCAAAGGAAAGATCGTCTTGGGTTAGTGTCCCTTGGATGTTTCAATATATTGTTAATTCTTATCCTTGTTTCGGTAGTCATGCCAAGATGGGGATTGATAATTAGTGTCTCCATCCATTTACCCTTCTATTCGTGGAAGTGGCAGTCAGAACAAACGATCACCATTCGATCGTAGTTCAAATAGGTTTTTTTTTGGGGGTTGGGTACTTCGATAAAATATTTAAAAAAAATATTATTATGCGACGGATGTTCGGATGCGATGGATACGGGGTCCTCCAAGCCAAAAACGGCAAAAAAAAAAATCCTAAATCTCAAAATCAAGGACCCCAAATCCTTTGCGGCAAAAATCATGGTAGAATATAATAGTAGGGCTGTTTCCTAAGTCCACATGCCACTTTCTGCACCCTGAGATCGTCAAAAAAAAACCTAAATCCCAGGGTACAACCTCTGTATTGCCTAAGTCTAGGTGCAGATTTTTGCGACCTTACTTAGGCAATACCCCACCAAGCACCTAGGATATCGGCATTTTTTTTTTTTTGGCCTAACTCAGGGTGCTGATTTCTGCGCCCTGGCTTCGGCAAATTAGCTGCTGGACAATGCATTTAAAGGATATATGATGTAGACGTAGAAATAATGGGGGAAATTTAGTACTTGAAAAAAATGACAATCAGGGATAACATTGGTGGCTTTTTACCAAAGGTATATGGGGGCACCACCCTAGAAAAAACAAGAGCGTGGTTGATACCTTTTCCATTTTGATCCAGCAATTTTTTTTTGGGTACCCTTCAGAAATGGTAATGGACCCCAATTAATCCAAGGAATATAATAAAATAAAATAACCGTAACCGATACTGGGATGATATCAATTTAGCCAACCAAGTGGTTGCCTAAGAGTGAACATAATAATGCACATAGAATTTTCTATGAGCATGGGAAAAAAAAGGTACATTAAATAACCAATGGTAAGATGATACCAATTTAATCAACCAATTGGTTACCTCATAGGGAAAATAATAAGGTACCTATATAATACAATTCAATTCCATTATCATATATTAAATATTTGGAAAGACCCAAGAATCCATTTGCAGAGAACCCAGATCAATTGCAAAACATAGATATAATATATTCTTTGTTTTATCGAAGTACCCAACCCCAAAAAAAAAAC